CCTTTTGTCCTTTTGTTGATGATTTTTTTAATTACTTTTCATCATTTGCAATCAGCTCAAAAACATTAATAATAATAGGAATACAAGGCAGTCAATAACATGTAATGACTGGTTATTAAACAAATAACAATTCTTTTATCCAAAATGTAAACCTTAATATGATTTTAGTTACCATTATTTCATACTTGATTCAGTTTTCTTTGTTATTCATAGTGTTGTATCTAACTTATTCCACAGCTCATTGTGTATTCAAGTGCTTTATATCGAAGTTTCAGGGAAATATCTAGATATTGCCCTTGAATACCTAATTAACTACTACGTTCAACTTAGAAATTTTCCGTCTGAAACTTTAAACTTGAAAGAAAGAAAGAAAAATTCAAATGACACCAAGTAGATTCGAACCCACAACCTTAGCTTTGAAAATCCTATACTTAACACGTTATGCTAACTGACTAATTGATGTCAGTTGTGGAATAAAACAGTTATTTAACATTGTCCAGTTACTTGTTACAAAAGGTATATTGTTAGCATTGGTCTCATGGGACTAACGAGAAAAATGGTTATGCAAATTATTACCGTTGGGAATTGTAAATACAGTAAATATCGTAACCTTTCTAATCGAGGTTTTGGTTTTTAATTCATATGAAAACGGCTTCTTTGCCTATTTAAAAATGAAAATATTAATGAAGTGCTTGGAAAACTTCTTCAAGTATGAAATAAGCCAGATAAATACCTCGAACGTCGGCAATAAGCCTATAAAGCCCTCGGGGCCTACGGCCCCTTGTGCTTTATATGGCTTATTGCCTCCGTTCTCGGTATTTATCTCTTACATGCATTATGATTCTCACCTTTACTTGTGTGGAATTTGAAGCTGAGGGACAGGAAGCTGGAACTTTTTCACCATTGTCTGTGTAGTCTTGTGGTCCTTTATCAAATCCACAGCACTTGAACTAAACAATAATGTCAGTCAATCTAAATTCTACTGATATTAGCAACATACAATAAAATATCAATTTTACAGACTTAGAATACAAAATATAAAATTAATCCCATGCTTCAAATCATAATAGTCCAACATAAGATCGGCCTCTAGTCAATGCTTTCATATTGAGAACGCAAAAACCAAAAAGAAAAAAACACTCATTTGAAAATAACCAGAACCAAAAATATTATGGCCTTCCATCATCACTAAAAATTTTAAGTAAACTTCAATTTAGATCTAAAATAAAAAGTCTTCTATATGATATTCTGGAATTAACTGATGACTGTATTAATTTCTCTCAAATCTTGAGGTATATTATTAAACAATCATAATCAATGCAGAATATCCTCCTTTATTGTTACGGGATATACAGCAATATGCAGAAATTCTGACCACTTTGACTCATATTCCAACTATATATAAAATATATCAGAAATTATGGGATATCATCGCTGATATTTTTTTCGGATACTACTGATCCTAGGCAACTTCAAAAAAATATCAGTGACCATATCCCATAATTTCTGATATATTTTATATATAGTTGAAATATGAGTCAGAGTGGTCAGAATTTCTGCATATTGCTGTATACTGTAGAATTATGCATATATATGTATATCATGAAACTTCTTTCGTCTGTTCATTTTTTTTTCTCATTATTTGTAAATATACCCTATTCTTTATTTTTTGTAAATTAACTCTAATCTATTATATACCTTTTTTTATTGCACCCGCCAAGAATAGTTTTAAAACTAATTGCGGGTAGCAATACTTCTTGTATTCATTTAATCAAATGTAAATAAAGTATTGTTTTTGTTTTTGTATATCTAGGCTTCAAAAAAATCCCATGAAACAAATTTATCCATTTAGTATCCAATTTTTGATGAAAAAAAAAACAAAAAACAAAAACAAAATCAACCAAAACAAAACAACAACAACAACAACATCAAACAAAAACAATGAATAATTTAAGCCAGGGTAAAAACACCAAACTTAATTTTCTGTTCAAATTTCTGTTTAAAACTCAAGCTTTCAAGAGGCAAAATGTTTAGTGCCAAAACTAGGTGTGTTCTCAAATGCACAGTAAACAGCTTTAGATCTTAATTAAATTAAAGCAGAAAGTATTCAAATTTAGTGCAAGAGAAATACGGCAAAAGTGTAGCCCCTAATCGACGTAGTGAACTCACTTTCTTGTCAAAAATTAACTCCTAACACAAACTACTGACAAACATGTTTCTTCGAACATACACGCTGACAGCTCCAGTCTCCGCGCAGGTGAAACATGACATAACAATAGAACAAGATCAAACTTTGACTCAGCTTAAGAATTTGTTGACGTGTATTAATTTTTAATTATTTCAGAGGTCTAAGAAAACCACTCAATCAAATGTCAAAAACATCAAATTACGGCAAATACATAACGTGATATCATATTAGAGAAAGAAATTTTGTGTAAATAGCTGTGTACAGCTGTCACTTGTCAATACCATAATTTGTGCATTATTAATCAATATGACAGGCAATATTGTTGATATTTTAGTCTACTGTTAAACATTTTTTAATCAGA